CTGGACATACAAAAGAAACCAGTTGATGTCTTAATAATTAAAAGGAATATACTGTACAAATAACAAATCAAAAGAGTGACCTGGATAATTTTCCTATATTGGATTTACAAAAGAGGCTTTTTAAAGCTTCAAAGAATTTGTGAGAAGGGACAAAGAAAAAATGAAAAGAAATCAAGTTCTGGGACATTATTTGAAGGGAGTAAAGATCAAGATTGTTAAAAGTAAAAGGAAGGAATTTAAAGTTGGTTTATTTGATCAAAGTTAAATAGATACGATGTTATCTCTGGTAAACCTTAATGGACTTTTGCTGCTCAGGACTGAAATAACGAGGCTTTAAGGATTTGTTTATAGATAAGAGATGGGATATGGGAAGAAAAGATCATTTGTTGTATTTTAAGAGAAGGCAATAAGTTACTAAAATTCTTTATACTTGTACAAGGGGAACGTCATTTCTTTATATATTTCTTTTCTTTTTCTATACTATATTTTTATTATTTTTCTTTCTCTTCTATTTTTCTTTCTATTTTTTCTTTCTATTCTTTTATTTGTTTAGTTGGTATTAGTTTTTATCTTTGTAATTGTAGTTTTTAATAAAATTACTATTAAAGAATGAAAAGCACTGCCAGCCTGTTTTGCCAACTGTGCCATGAAAATAGGATGGCTGGACATGAGGGGTATTTAAAACTCAGCTTAGGGACTTCTGGTGGCTAAGAGTGAGGGCAGATGTCAGGGATTATGTTTCATCTTGTCTTAGGTGCTACTGAGCAAAATCTGTTCCTGGAAAGCCAGCTAGCTTGCTGCAATCCTTTGCAACCCTGGACACGGTATCACTGGATTTTATTACTTACTCTTCCCCCTGTACAGGGATTTTACAGAACTGGGCCACTTCATTCCTTGCAAGGGCCTCCCAACAGTTTAGGAAACAGCATGGCTTTTTTAGACTACATTTTTAGATATACAGTGGAGACCTAGTCAATCACATGATTTTGGATTACAGATTGCAATTTACCTCCAAGTTTTGGAAGGCCCAATTATTAAACATTAACATTCATTCGTCATCAAATGGAGAATCTGAGAGGTTGAACCAAATATTACATATTTAAAGCGCTATGCCTCTTATCAACAAGACAATTGGACTAAGCTGTTGTCAATTGCAACATTTGCCTACAACAGCTTAGTACATTTCTCTATCAGCATATCTCCTCAGTGTTATTGACATATCTCCTCAGTGTAACCATATAACACCACAGCTTCACAAGCTGCATTGGCTCTGTATAAATTTCCAGATGCAGTTCAAGGTGCTGATTATCACCTATAAAGCCCTTCATGACCCAGGCTGAGTTACTTGTATATTACCTGTCTCCAACTGTCTGTACTCATCCAATGAGATCCAGCAGAGTGAACATGCTTCAGGTTCTTTCCATGAAACAATGTCACCTAGTGGGACCCAGGGGACACACCTTCTCTCTTGCAGTGCCTGCTCTATGAAATATTCTCCCTGAGGTTTTATCCTTCCACAAAACCCAGAAGACCTGGTTCTTCCCCTGACATTCAGCCAGACCCATGGGTTGAGCCCATGTAAAATGTAAGATCCTTGAAATCAGGCAGCATATAAATTTAATGTATTATTATTAATTATGTGTTGGTTGGCCTTGGTTGCTCTGTCATAGTATTATTTCTGTTATTTCATTATTCTGTTGCTTTTTATGTTCTGATAGTTAATTATTTTATTTTTAATTCTTTTTTTCTTCAAATTGTAAGTCATTCATAAATTTATATGGATGGCCATATAAATCTAATAAATAAAATTAAAATAAAATATACAGCTTGTGAATGAGCCATTTTATCTTCAAAATGCCTACTTAATATGTCACAGTCCCAAAGCTCTTGATGATCACCCACTTTCAAGCTGAAATAGTCTATGAAAACTCTGCTGGAAGTATTGTTTCTTCACCATAATCACAGATTGGGTGTGATTGTGAGCTTCCACCTGTATATTCAAATTGAATTTGTCAGAAAACGACAGACATGGGTTCAGTTGTCCAGTAGACAGAAGTTTTTATTGGGCACGTTTGCAAAGGTGGGTCCCTCCCGCAGCAATGGAGGAACCCCGAAACAAGGTCTGACAGGTTTTTTATACCCCCTATCTGTCCTCCCCCTCCTACGGGGGCTTGGCTCACAATCTCACCTTTTTTTACCGCCCCGGAGCACCGCTAATTAACCGCAAACCCGAAGACATTCCCCTGCCTACTCCAATCAGCGCAATACACATTGCAATACCCACTTGACCCAACAGCCGCCCCCTGCCGTTTCTCTCCACTCTGGTGCGAACATGCCTTCTGCCTACAGTATTTCCTCCCTCCTGCCATCCCTCTTCACTCTGGTGCGAATGTGCCTTCTGCCCATCCTCCCTCCTGCCGTCCCCCCCAAGGCTGCCCCATGGTGCACAGCGCTCTCCCCTAGCAAACATGGTTCGTTTGAGGCCCTCACTTCTCCCTGCCTTCTCACAAATTTTATACCAGTTTTTCAGCCTGCTTGATCACTCCCAGCAGACTAGGCTTTGCCTTGTGGCAGAACACCAAAATACTTATTTTTATTGCAGAATTTCTTCCTGGGGTTAACTGAAAATATACATCTGAAGGCAGTGGGGTGCAGAGATTCCTGTCTGAGGATCTGCTTGTGGAGTGACTACTGGCCTCTAAAGTTCCCTGTAAGACATTTGTGGGTGGGAGAGGGAGACTGGAAAATAGTACATAAAGTATCGCTTCTTAAGTCCAGTTTCTCTAACCTCCTATCTCTCAAAAGGAAGAATGTTCTGAAACAGATTGACCCACTGATCCCTGACTTGTAATAGAATTAGGTGACTTTAAAATAAGTTTTTGTGGGACCCTGTGTTGTCTGCGTGCTATCCCATTTAAATTCATGCACAGTTGCAGTTACATCGGTAAAAAACGTAATGATTTTAACATCTCCTGTCCCTATGGCTCATTTGTCTTTAGGCTCTACGAATGAAATTTCCAGTAGTAAAGCTTCCTCTCTATTTTGTTGTGGAGGATGAGGGTTATTCTATAAACCTGACAGCTCCTTATTTTGTCAGCATAGAAGAAATAAACAACAGAATGAACTGGAAAGTTTCAGGTAAGAAGCAGAATACTGGGGTTCAGAAGGATCCTTTCTGAGAAATTCTATTCAAAATATTTATGTTGCTGTGTTCTTTAATGTTCCTCTTCCTTGCCATACCATATAATAACTAAAAATGAAAAATATTGTTTTCCAGATCTATTTACTTTCATTTTCATTTTTACTTTCATTCTTCTTGAAAAGTTTCGCCCAAGTTCTTTCCACTCAAACAGCAACCACGATAAAGAGTTATGATGATACTGTTTTACCAAGTTTTAAGTTTGCCCTTTCATTATAAGTTATCATCATAACAAAAAACCCATTGCATATAGCTCTCCATTTTATTTTTAGTAGCTTCCACATTTTTAGTTTTAGTTTTTACAAAAGGATACCTTTTTGCAAAGCATTGGCTAATTCATCTTTCTTTATATAGGATTAATTTTCCACTGAAACTTGTAACCAGACAATGCATGGAACTATCACTCAGAGACTATTTTAACTATTTTTTTCAGGTACCGACAGAACATCAAGTATGGAAAAATTAAGGATATACTTCCAAAAAACCAACAAAATGAGGTTGTATAATCCAGATGGGCTAACTTTATCAATAACTGTAAGTTTCTGATCAAATACGTATTTTGAATAAAAAAGCCAAAATCTACTACTAGATTGCAACAATCTGACATATCTTCCAGTAAAACTGCTAAAATATTAAAAAGTGGCAAGGCTTTGATCACCTAATCAGGGCCACCAGCTTGACGCCTCTGCAGATACCACTGAGTAGAATGTCTGGCACAAAAACATAACAGTAGGATCTCCACTTTTCTACCCACTACTTGAGTTCCAGGGTGTCTGGATGTAGCTATTCCCCTAGGAAAATCTGTTCCTCATGGGGCAGGCAGTTAAGCTATAATTAAGTTTTCTTGACGAGAGAGATGCCCCCAATTTACCTAGACTCTGGGTGGGGCAGAGCAGGATGTCCCCCTTCCTCAGGACTAGGCCTTTAAACAAATGGCACCAATCTTCCCCTTTAATCAAGGGTGATGAGATCCAAGCTGTTTACTTTGGAATGCATTATGCTAATATAAACCAGTGCAGAAATAAAGAATGAAGTATTTTTATTTTGAATCCCACTTCATCCTGTTGTAGGGCTACCATATCTAGGCTGCAAAAACCTGGATGACTATTAGAAGGCAAAAAGGGTTATGTGCCAACTAGCCATCATCCAGGTTTTTGCAGCCCAAAGAGAAACTACATTTGCAACCCCCATGGAACTAAAAGAACTCTTCTTACACAAAGAAAGTCTGACAAGGCAAGCAGGTTGAATAGATTCTTTACTACTGACAGTCTGGGGAAAATGTGAATGTGATTGTCATCACAAGGCACAGACAGGTTAAACTTTTTTTCCTTGGTCATGATCTCGGTCAAAATGACCAACCAAAGAAGTGGCAATTTTAACTGTAGGGAAAATCTTTGTTTTGGCACCAGTGGGAGAGTTTTCCTTTCCTAATGTTAATCACCACCCTACTGGTACATCTTAAACTGTGTAGGTGTATCACAACTTTAGTCAAAAATCTTAAATCTTAAATCATATTTGCTTAAATCATGTGATTTTGCTATCTATGATTTGCTGAATAAACTACACTTAGCTAGTGGTTCACACATTGTATTAAATAATTCAGGATAAATTGTTCTCCATTTTTAGTAGTTTCTCAGTACAAAGAAAAAGCAAACTGCACCACGATATTTATGTTCATTAATATTCTAAATTAGGGGGAGGCAGAATTAGCCTAGACAACAGACAGATGATAGATGATAGATGTAGCACACACTTAAATCCCTATCCATCTGCCTAAATAAAGACACATATCTAAAACCAATCAAGTTATTCAGAGCAGCAATTCCCAATTTGGAAATAAAATAAAATAGTAATAGAGAAAACAAATCATTTCCATTCATGTCATTCAAAACATACAGTTTAATCAATAACAATTTTAAAAGATTAAGCAATGTTAGAAAATGTATTTGTAGCATAAGAAATAGTATTATGACTAATAAAAATAATGTTTCTTTTTAATAGGGATCTGAGCTTTTCCATTTTAGAGTATCCACTATTCCTGGAGTCTCCTTTTGTAATTTATTTGATGAATTTCAGGTATATATATTTTTTATTAGTGTCAAAATATAGTATTACATATCATCCATAAAATAGAACACAAGAATGTGAAACAATCCTAAAGATATAGTTAGTTACTTCAGCAAGAATTATTTATATTAGCTGTATTTGGTACAGATATAACGAGTAGTAACCCCATGTTCCACAAATTTAAGCGACATTGTCTGTAATGTCCCCCCCAAGAAAGTCAGTGTGATAAAATTTCTAGAAACAGAGCATTGGCAAAAATGCAAACATTGCATCCAGTCTTGATAGCCCCCAACATAATAAAAGAGGCCCTGGTCACAGATGGACTCTCTATTCCTTTCTTCTTAGCAAGTGGAACCTATCCTGCCTCTTTCCACAGAAATAAAGACTGATACTTTTGTTCTCCCACAAGTCTGAGCCCCTGCTTGTCCCTTTCTAGAAATTAAGCAAGTCAAGCGAATATACCATAGATTATTAGGGAACTCAGATATTACATTATAAGAATTTGGCAGGGATTGATTGACTGGTTGATTAATATTCATGAATTCATTCAATTTTTATTCTGTATTTGAATCTTTAAACACCCCTGAAATGAAAACTCAGCTAAAAGAACTCTTTCTACTTCTTTGCTATTAGATAGTTTCAAATGTGTATTTAATCTTGCAATGCTAGCCTTGCTTTCAGAGGTATACTTACTACCGTAAACATGAGTTATCTATCCCAAGTACCAACTTTTAAAGGAGTATGAGTTTTCAAATTACCAGAATATTTTTTTATTGCAGATTTATGTTGATGATTCACCACTGGCTTTTCCAGGACGGCATCTCATCAGTACAATTGTGGCTGTGTTAATAGGAGGCATTCTCTTTGTAGCCTTTCTTCTGCATATCTATGAAATCCAGATAGGAAATTTTTTTAAGAGGAAATCAAAGAGAAACAAAGTAGAATCAAAAACTTCAACTGCCACAGCTTCAGAAACATCTAGTACTAGCACTGAATCATAATTGTCAATTGCTGCAACAATGTTCTCACTTCCATGCTAATATGTGGCTTTTTTTTTTTCTTCCTTATTTGGCCCACAAGAATTGTTGGCTTTTGTTACAGTTCTTTTTTCTCGTTAGATAACATAAAGAATGTTCCTTTATTTCTTAGCATGACATTATTCTAGTCACTGTTGTCATGAATTTTCTTAGTTTTTGTGTGGGGAAGTCGGTTATCTATGCATTTATTTTTACAGAAGTATGAACTCATGTTCAGAAGAAGTCATCCAACAATATACAATAACATAATTAAAATGTAAAATAAAAAATATTATTAAATATACACCTATTCTACCTCTGCATTTATTAGGTACCAGTTATTTCTTGATTAAAGGTTCTGTAGAGCAAATGCAGCAATAATTGCAAGCATTTGGCATTTATGTTAATGCAAAAAAAGAAAGTCCTCTAAACAAAGTTACAAACAAACATTATGTATTTTATTATAGGGAGAAATTCCCTGATTGTGAGCCTGATAAATTACAGGTTAAAATATACATTATGCTGAGAACTCTCCCCCTCCCCTCAAAAAACTAAATAAAATAAAGAGGAACATTTTGGGATTTTAAAAAAATTATTCAGAGATAATTTCAAAGGAACATAAAAGTGCAGATAGCAAATAAAATAAAATAAAAAATACAACTACAATTACACATGTGCTTTATACATCCAGGAATCTGAAACAGGAGGCAAACATTCAAAATAGTATTTTTTAAAAATTATGTCTCTACATATCAATAGTGCTAGTTCACTGACATACAAAATGAGAATGCCTAAGAGAAAAAAAATGCATGATATAAAGTAGGACCTGAAATAAAATTTTGTGGTATATAGTATAACAGAAACATTCCTGCTCAAGGATCCAATCACAATATTCTATTCTCCTCTCTTCCCCTTTCTCTCCCCCCACCCCAAAGTGATTTGCACACTATCTATGGATCATGAACATGGTCATTTGTCTGCTTTGGGAAAAGGAAACATTATAGTTTGCTATATAGCTCCAAAAAACATAGACCATGGAATGCTGAGAGGTTGTTCTCCTTGCTGCTTTGCTAGAAGAAGACCAATTCAAATGTTTACAACACATATCAAAAACCCTGCACTGCAAAATCAGGCGCAGATTTCTCATCCCAGTATTGTATAATTATTGTTTTAGCCATCTCCCATAACTGAAAAATGCACTGCTTTGATAGATGGTAGATTTCAAATCTGAGGATATAGTCCAAAAAGAACATATGTATTTTTGATATACTGAAATTGACCCAGATGTTAACAATGCTGTTGATGTCAGCCCCAAATGTAACATCATAGAATAAAATCTAACCATATTGGTTACTGATCCAATTTCTGTCTTTCATGTCCAATAATAAAGTGATTACACCCAACCCTTATTGACCATACTCTAGGATACAGTAAGATGTTGTTGTTACCTCATTTTAAGATCATAAGAAACTAATTTCACATTGTTTAATGTAGCCTGACATTGATTTACCAAGAAAGATCATTCAAGCTTGTTATTCTAAAGGTCACATGAATGATATCAATTTATTCAGGTGCCTATACGAAAAGGTTGCTGGCTTATTATTCTCTGACACCTCTAACTTCTGTGAAGTATCAGAAGCTGCAAACACATCTGGACAAAATAAACCAAATAACAAATATGTAAGGTGAATATATTGCCAAGAATGGAGTAGATTTCTAATTTTTTCATCCTATAAAACCAGACAGGGCAGAAGACAATGCTCAAAAGTTTAGAATAAAGATAAACATTACCATCTAGTGGTGTATATACAAACTGCAATTTGTAGAAATGGTGTGCTTTAGATCTAAATTTGGCTTAAAAATCAGCTTGGAAAAAAAAGAACTTGAAATTAAACTTGCAGGCACAGAATATTACTTTTCAGACAGAAAAAAATAAATGTCATGATAAGACACAAAAACCGCATGCTAAAGAAAGAAAGCACTGAGAACTATTAAAGATACCCATTCCTGTTTGTCTTTGAACGACGCTATTGGGTTTTGTGCTCATATTGTGTCCTAAAGTCTGTTAATTGCTCATGCAGACACACAGTCTTTGGCATCCTTGGGCTGCAGATAAGACTCTGCTTTGGTAGACAATAGAGCAACACCTGGCTGTTTTTTGCTTGCCCAGCTGATTGGCTCATTCCCATACAGGATTTTCAATCTGTCTTGTATTTTGCCCTGTTGGCATCCATATAGCTTACCAGCTTGCAACACCAGTACAGAGTATTGGCTGGTAGTTTGAGAGTTAGGAGTATAGTTCCTTTAAGTCTCTTGACTGGAATCCAGTCTTCTTTGGCTAATGCCTTCCTACACAGGAACTGACTGCTTTGGCAATGTCTGGTCTTTTCACTTTCCAACTGCCATCCTGTAGTCTCAAGCAGGAGCTCCTTGTTTGAAATCTGCTTTAAGTATTGAGTTTCCATTAGTACACTGATCTCATTTGCTTCAGTCAGCCCCAGACACTGAAGACGATCCTGTCTTCTGTTTCTGGCTAAAGAGTTAACTTCAATCCTACTCTTCTTCTGTCTGGATGCCAAGGTAGTAAGAGCTGCTTCCCAGCTCTTTCATATCAATTTCATTGTTGAGGTTATTGCAATCTCTTGGCTATCACTTTCTTTTTGGTAGCAAATGACTAAAAAATCCACATATCTAAGGATATATGTCATTTTTTCCATATGTTGTCCATATGTTGGAATGATGACAGGGTCAGTTTTACCTTGTATGAACTCTTTCTTGACAAGTACATGGTTCAGCTTTTCATTCCAGGCTCTAGCAGCTTGCTTCAGGCTGTAGATGCTCTTCTGAACTTGCACCCCAGATCTTCTTTGCCAGGTTCCCCAAACTGGTTGGCTGCTGCAGGTAGATGGCTTTGTTGATTTCTTCTTGCAGGAATGCAGTCTTTGCATAAAGGCAATATCTCATTAGAGAAACATTGGACTTTGATTTCTAGATCTGAACATGGGATAGATCCTTGAGGTACCCCATTCTCTGCAAAACAAATGGCTGAAGCATTGTGGCAACATCAGCAGCAAGTAGATACCCAAATAAACCTGTATGTTGCAATGATACAGCTAGCACAGAATTCGGGATACAGCTTATTTCAGCTGGGAACAGCCCCCAAAGTTGCTGCACAACCAATGTTCTTCCATTCTTCTGAAAGTCTGCCCGAGACGTTCTGGAAGGCTCAAGGTCAATTCCTGACTTTAACAACACAGTGTAAATTGTTTGTAGTGGGCACAACAGTGGAATTTCCTACACATTAGACCAAGGTTGCCTTTGTTCTTAGCCTGCTGAAAAAGGGAGCAGCCATATGGGCAGTTCCACTAATTGAGACCAATGATGCCATCTTAGTAATCCTTTTCCCTGCTGCGTGCTCCGACTCCAATGATATGAAGCCCATGCAAATAGGAGTGAGGAAGAGGTCACTCCCCACAAAAGAGGAATAATAAAAGTGAAACCTTAGATTGTGTTTTTACTGTGGTGCACTAGGTCCAACATCCGACATTATGCAATTGCATTTTGTAACCCGTCAGCCTTTGCAGCTCCATTGGTTAGAAATCCAGCTCAGAGCTCTTTTGGACTCTAGGGCAACTACCAGTTTCATAGATGAGGCTACTGTGCCACAGTTCAGCTTACTGAAACACTTAATCCTGATATTCACTGGGAACAAGGGACTACTTCTTTCTCTTCACAACAATGTCAACACCACCAAATGCAGATTTGGACTCTTTTTCACCCTCTCCTTCTCACTTCTGCCTGCATCTCCTTCATTGATAGAAAAGGATGCAGATTTTCCCATATTTGGGGGGAAGATGAAACCATGACTTTGTCTCCACATTGGGCTATCAACTTAGAACCTGGACCCCAGATCCCAGCTAATTGGCAGTACACCATGTCTACTCAAGAATTAACTGATTTAAAAAACTTTCTGGACAATAATCTGAAAAAAGGGATTTATCTACCCTTCCTGCTCACATCTGTGCCTGTTTTTATAAAAAAGAAAGATAATTCTTCAAGGCCTGCTCATGATTATAAGCTTCTAAATTATGTGGCCATTACAGATCACTACCCACTGCCTCTAATAAACTTGATAAGCTTGAGGAGAGCTTACAGTTTGATTTCGATGAAAGAGGGACATGAGTACTTAACAACTTTTAACACTTGATATGGCAAATATGAATACAGTACACAGTAATGCCCTATAGTCTAATTAACTATCCAGCTGTATTTTTCAGATGCATGAATGAGATATTTTTAGATATTTTGTGCAAATATGTAATAGTTTATCTGGATTACATTTTGATTTTTTTTTCAGAAAAAGCCATCCATTCTATTCATGTCAGGAATGTGTTTCAGTTCCTATGCAAAACCTACTCCACTAAGTTAGGGAAATGTGTTTGATTTTCCTCAAAGACTATTTCAGGTATCAGATCTCTAGAGAAGGCATGCAGATGCATCCTGCAAAAGTTCAGTCCATACTTTTATGGCAGGCACCAGGAGCTCCAAGATTTTCTAGGCTTTGCCAACTTTTACTGAAGATTTTTCACGGATTTTGCAGAGTGCCCAAGGCTATTAACTTAACTTCTGAAAAAAGGATGTGAATTTAAATGGCCTACTCAAGAACAAGCCACTTTTTAGGATTTGAAAACTGTCTTTTTATCCCAGTTGCTGCAGCCTCGCCTTTTTTGTGGAAAATGACTTGTGCTTTTTACCTGAGACTCCTTCTCCTGCCTGAACAGAACTATGATGTCTTCAACAAAGAATTTCTGGCAAGAAAAGCAGCATTCCAACTATGGAAACATTTCTTAGAGGGGCTGACCCATCCAGTACAGGTGTGGACAGATCCCAAGAATATGGAGCCCCCACAGAAAGCCCAAACCCTCACTCAACATTAGATTGAGTGTGCACAATTTTTCTCTTGCTTCAATTTATGTATCACCTAT